AAATTGCCTGTGATGGAAAAAAATAAAATAAATTAAAAAAAAGAAGGTACTGTTATTCTCAGTTTCCTAAGCAGAGTTGAACTAGGTATGGCCCGTGTGTTTAGGAAGCAAACTTCTTTTGTTCTGAGCAAGCTGACTATTCTGGCTGTATAGGAAACACAGTAGATTACAGAATGATCGTTTCTCAAGGCAGAGTTTGTATCTTGTAAAGCGCATTCGTGTTGATTACCCTCATAAACAAAGTTGAATCACATGCAGTTTCTTGTCCTATGTGCATTTATTCTTTTCTGGTAAGGAAAGTCACTATTGGGCATCCATTGACATACACAGTGCAAATAACACTCACGTCTTTTCCCAGCAAGTACAGTGTATTGGATGGGAAAGAAGGTACTGTTCTTCTCTGTTTCCTAAGCAGAGTTGAACTAGGTATGGCCCGTGTCTTTCAGAAGCACACTTCTTTTGTTCTGAGCAAGCTGACTGTTCTGGCTGTATAGGAAACACAGTAGATTATAGAATGATCATTTCTCAAGGCAGAGTTTGTTCCTTGTAAGGTGCACTTGTGTTGATTACACTTCATAAATGAAGTTGAATCACATGCAGTTTCTTGTCCTACAAGCAACAGTTCTTTTCTGTTAAAGAAAGTCACTATTGTGCTCCCATTGACATGCACAGTGCAAATAGAACTTGCGTCTGTTTCCAGCAAGTACAGTGTTTTAGGCAGAATAGAAGCTACTGTTCTAGTCATTTTCCTAAGCAGAGGTGAACTAGATATGACCTGTATGTTTAGGAAGCACATTTCATTTGTTCTGAGCAAACTCACTGTTCTACCTGTAAATGAAACACAGTAGAGTAGAATATTCTTCCTTTCTCCAAAGCAGAGTAATTCCTTGTAAGGCAATCTAGTGTTGAATTCCCCTTCATAAATGGAGTTGCATCACATCCAGTTTCTTGTATTATGAGCAACAGTTCTTTTCTGGTAAGGAAAGTCACTATTGGGTTCTCATTCATAATCACAATACAAATAGCACTTTCATCTGTTCCCAGCAAGTACAGTGTATTGGATGGAAGAGAAGCTACTGTTCTTGTCAGTTTCCTAAGTAGAGTTGAACTAGATATGGGCCACATTTGTAGGAAGCAAAGTTCTTTATTCTGAGAAAGTTCACTCTTC